AAATGAAATACTTAGGGAAGTTTATAGCTTAAAGTAGCATCAAAGATGTAAATATTGGTTCATGCAACATTGAAACTGAAATATTCCAGTAATGATTTAAAGAAAAAGTTTGCATACTTTAAACTAGCAGCAATATTGCAAATATTAATTCATTAAACATTATTATAATGCCAATTACATTAATGTTTCAAATAAAAAGTTAATAGCTCAAACCAGCAGTTAACAATAAACTTTTAGTTATTTTTTATACAAGACGATAAAATGGTAGTTTATCGTTGACCGGAAAAGTTAATTCACGATCGGAATCGCGAGTGAATTAATTCCGGGAGACGATAATGGCATTTTATCGTCGTGTGTAAAATAAAGTTTTTTCCCATAGCCTAGTTATGCACGCCTGTAGTATCAAAAATATCTAGAAATTATTTGAGTCGAACACTTTTGCATAAGTAGATCGTTTGACAAACTTTGACAAATAAATAAAAAACAAAATACGTATTTATTTTTGACAAAATAAACGTCTTTATCTATCCATGCTGTTAAAGTATCATTTAATCTACCCTTGCGGTTAAAGTACTACTTTATCTACTATTTTTAGTAGATTAAAGGCTTTTTTACCAGTAGCTATGGAAAAAATATAAAATATAATTGTCATTATTTAATGTATTTCTTTTAAAAAAGAGTATCTCAGTCAGTCATTTTAGCATTTCTTACATATTATTAGTATAGATGTTAACTTTATAGATACTTACCTTTTACCTTACCATAAACTTCGACAAGTTTTAACAATTTCTCAACGCGCAAAATCAGGAAATTTGCAAAATAAAAACAACAGCACGACAACGACAAACCCCGTTAGGCGAAATAGCGAATTCCAGCGATGGAGCGATGTCTGAGTTTGATGATGATTGACATGGCACGTGGTGTGCGCCGGCGCCGGCGCCGCGTGCCTGAGCGAGGCCAGGGTTGTTTGACAGAGGAAGGTTGCCTCATCACTTTATGACGTCATCTGGGGTGCCTCAACATAATGCAATTCTCCATAGGGCACCCCAGTTGCGTCATGAAGTTACACACCACCAGACCACATATTAACTTTAGGAACCTTGGAGCGGATAAATATAAATCCATCTAAATTATCGGCGAAGTTGCCAAGTCAGACGTGTATCCGAGTGTGTAATTCTCTAAGCAATGTTGCCGGACTGTCGGTAATAATCTAAGAGTTGATTCGCACTATCGCACTTGGCAGGCGCTACTATTTACTTTAAGTACTTTGAAATTCCAATAATTATGAAAAATATATTTTGTAATTAGTATTAAATGTAATCCTATTATGACAGTAGTATGATAAGTATTTTTCAATGGGGGAGGGGTTGAACCCACAAACCTCCCCCCTTATATACGTCCTTGATCACAATGTAGGTACAATATTAGAATCGATTTTCTAAATTCGCATCGATAAAAATTTTACAACAACAAACATTTAAACAACTTTCAAGCGCCTGAAATTTTTAATTGGAATCGATTTTTTACAATAGATCTCTATTTATTGTGTATCTCTTTTTTGGCCTTTAGCAAGGTTGCCAGATTTTTTGCATCGGTCAATTTTTTTCAACGTCTTATGGCGTTTCCGATAGACCTATCTATTTTACCAGACAAAGAGGTAATAATACAAAATCTTCATTAGATAAAAAAAGACACAGAACGCTCATTGCGCAAGACGAGGAAAACGTACCAAATTATGTTAGACTTACGTATAGCAATCCGTCCTTCTTATTTGCACGGGGTAAAAAAGGAAGGAGGAAGACCGCGTGTTCTGCAACGTATTTGTCAATGAAAATTTGAAACAACTTTTGTTGTCACTTGTCAGAATATGTCAATTCGAATATCAACCGTACTTTTATTCTTGTCAGACCACGGGCAATGAACAGGGACAAGGAGATTCCCAGCATGCAAAACGAACACATCACACCTGTACTAGGTAGCCATTGTAAAGGCATTGCCTCATGTTGCGCGCGCATACCAGGTAAAAATAGATAGGTCTATTCTGAACACCATATACAGGCATATGACGCCCTTTTGTCATATTTTGAGAGGACATCTGTCAAAAATTACATTTGACTGGTTGAGTATTCCAAATTGTATTATCACCCGAACTTGAAGTGTATGCAAAATAGTCATTAGTGGTCTAAAATTTATAATCACTCGAACCTAAAGTCTATGCAAAATTTCAGCAAAATCCGTTGCGAAAAAATGGTTCAAAAATCTGCACCTGTCATATTTGACAGTTCACACCTATCATTAGTGGTCTAAAATGTATTATCACCCGAACCTAAAGTGTATGCAAAATTTTAGCAAAATCCGTTGCAAAGAAATGGTTCAAACATCTGCACCTGTCATAATTTGACAGTTGACATTTGTTATTAGTATTCTAAAATGTATTATCACCGGAGCTTAAAGTGTATGAAAAATTTCAGAAGTTCAGCAAAATCCGTTGCGTAGAAATGGTTCAAAAATATGCACCTGTCACATTTGACAGTTGACACTAGTTTTACGGAAAATTTGACCAAGCCCATTGGATTCCTGAGGTTGAAAAACCCTTAAATACCAACTATCAAGAAAATTGTTAGAGCAGCTCTCAAGATAGCATGACTGAAAATACATACATACATACATAACATTTTTACTCGTATAAGATAATAAGATTATCACCCGAACTTGAAGTGTATGCAAAATTTCAGCAAAATCCGTTGCGCAGGAATGGTTCAAAAAACTGCACTTGTCACATTTGCCTGTTGACACCTGTCATTAGTGGTCTAAATTTTATAATCACTCGAACTTAAAGTCTATGCAAAATTTCAGCAAAATACATTGCGAAGAAATGGTTCAAAAATCTACACCTGTCACATTTGACAGTTGACACCTGTCATTAGTGGTATAAAATGTATAATCCCCCGAACTTGGCCCATTGGATTCGTGAGGTTGAAAAACTCTTAAATACCAACTATCGAGAAAATTGTTAGAGCCGTTCTCAAGATAGCATGACTGAAAATACATACATACATACAATTTTTACTCGTATAGGATAATAAGATGAGATAACCCTACTACGGTTTTACGTAAGATACAAACAAATAGCAATTACGACATATTTTTGAGCGGCTCTATTTCAAAAACTATCAATTTTTGACATGGGGTAAGTTAGACAAAAGTTATTTAGAATTGTTCAAAGAGTTGAAAAAAAAAAAAGATAATATACAGGGTGTCCCATTTGCAATAACAAAGTCAAGGCCATTTCCGGTGAAACCGGAAAAGACATTCAATTGTTTTTATATTAAAGTTGTTCACAATTTTCAGCCCTATCAACAAACCGAGTTGCATATTTCTATCTCGAGCCATTAAGAAATGCCGCCATGGTTAGTAGTTTCATTGTCACCCGGTATAATACTTTTTAACAATAAATAATTTTTCATTGTTTCCCGCCAAATGAAAAAAGGTGCAAAATTAATACAAGATTTGGAAGATTAGTCGTCGCGTTTTTGTAAATTAGCACTTTGTTAGCAATTTTTGGGAAGAAGTAATTAATAATTAATTGTTTAATTTTTACAAAAAAAAAACAATGTTCCGCACGTCACTGGAAGGTGCACATTTTTATAGTTCATTTTTTTGTTATACAAAACGTAAATTCTAAATTTCACATTGTTCGCAATTATTGTTAATTCCGAAGCCTCATTGACTGGCCTATAAGCTCAACGTTCGCAAATTCTAGACGACGTTGCTGGTAGTTTTAGATATAAGTTTATTTAACACTTTCTTTTAAACATTACTGCAATATTCACTTTTTGAAGATTAATTTTGCAACGTTGCTGCTAGTTTGAGCTCTAAAATTATTTAAATATTTTATATAAAACATTAGTGCAATATTTATTTATTTTAGTGAAGGAAATATGAAGCGTACTTTACAGCAGTCAATTTTGAGATTTTTTCCAAAGAAGGGGAAAACTAATGATGAACATAACCTTCAAATCAATAATTACATACCTAATCCCGGTCCATCTATGAATATTAATACAGATGATCAAGGTCCCTCCTGCTCAAATAGCAATAATAAAACAGGCAGTAGTAAGTTACTTTGATTTCAATTTATTAGAGATGATCGAAAATTGAATCAATCATTCCAAGTCGCTTTCTTTCGTGAACGTCTAGTAACGACATATCACGACGTCGAGTGATATGTCGTTTTAGAGGCATTTAGGTGTAAACATTTGAAATGTTTAAACTTGTTTAACGAAACGTTGCAAATTCACATCACTGTTGTTTGTTTTAGTTACACTTGGTTCGGTTATTGAGGAAGATGAAAACGATATTGGCAAATATTTGTCAAGAGCTACACAAAATGATGAAGAGAAATTGAAAGCGTTGAAAGAAACTTAGACCCCCCCAGAGGCTTTTAAGTTTCTCATCACTGGGGAAAAAATCTTTCTTCCCAGCGTCGTTGGACCCAAAACAACCCATGGCTAGTTTATTCGAAAATATTACAAGGACCACAGTGCAAAATGTGCGTTTTATTCGGACAGCCCGAAGATGGTCGCAGTGATCAAAAACTTGGGAGTTTTATAATACAAAGCCATTCAACAACTGGAAAAATGCATTGTGAAAGATCGAACATCATCGAAATACTAATTACCATAAAAGTGCTGTTGAACAGGCAAGAAATTTCGCGAGTGTTATGGAAGGCCAATCCCGTGATGTTATGGAAGAATTTGATGTGCAAAATAAAAAAATTGCCAAAGAAAATAGACAGCGGCTGTGTGCTATAGTAGAAACAATCTTATATTGCGGTCGACAGGAGTTGCCTTTGAGGGGAAATGAAGACTCTGGTGATATCGGCATTATCGATCCTCTTCATAATGATGGAAATTTTCGTGCACTGCTTCGTTTCCGTGCGCGATCTGGTGATGAAGTACTTAAATCACCTACTTTCGCGAAGTACTCATACTCGGGCTATGTACACATCGTCCGTCATTCAAAATGAAATCATTGAATTGTGTGGAAATGCCATCCAAAAGCAAATAATTGACAAAGTTAGACAGTCAGGTTTCTTTGCTGTACTTGCCGACGAAGCGCAAGACGTATCGCGTTATGAACAGCTATCCCTTTGCCTTCGCTATGTCGACTGCTCTTCTCGAAAGGCTCTTATTCGAGAGGACTTCGTTGGATTTGTACACATACATGATTTTACAGCATCAGCTTTAGCTTTGACCACCATGGAAAGTCTCAAATCGTTCGGATTAGATTTGGAGAATTTAGTCGGTCAGGGCTATGATGAGGCGGCTGTAATGAGCGAACGATTTAAAGGTGTAAGAACATCAATTATGGACAAATATTCCCGAACACAGTCCGTACATTGTGTAGCTCATACCCTTAATTTAGTTTTTGCTCATTCATGCGAGATTCCTGCAATTCGAAACCGCATCGGAACTATTAAAAGCATCATTAACTTTTTTCGACAATCAGCACTACGAGATGGCCTTCTAAAAAAAACTGCAGACGAAATTGCCTCATTCGACACTCATCTCGCTTTGTGAGACTCGCTGGACAGAAAAACACACGGCCATCGAAAGGTTCGCTGAGATGTTTCCTGTGGTACTTGCAGCACTTCAAGCAAGTTTTTTCGTACACTTCAAACTTAATCCGAAGCCTGCAAAAGGTTAATGTGGATCTTAACGTTACATGCAGTTATGTAAAAACAATTAAAACCACCTTGCAGAACCTACGGAATGAACGAGATTTCTCAAATCTTTTTGAAGAAGCGAAACACTTAAGTTCAGCTGATCTAAGTGTTCCAAGAGTAACTGGAAGACAAATAAACTGCAGTAATATACCAGGGGACACACCTGAAGTTTACTACCGGCGGAATATATTTTACCCATTTATCGAACATGTAGTCACCGAAATCGAGGCTCGCTTTAAGTCCCACGAAGAATCAATTTCAGGAATTCAGTTGATTTTACCAGACCGGACCCAAACCACTGACACAGCAAAGAAATGTATTGCAAGAATAGGGGAAATATTTCTTAGTGAAGCTGAAAAGAAAGTTGTGGTTAGCGAGTATGAACTTTGGCACAACCACTGGTGTAATCAAGAAATGCCCTCTACTGTCTTAGAAGCAATGGATCGATGTGATGAACTTTTCTTCCCAACGATAAGGCAGCTTCTTCAAATCTTGGCAACACTTCCAGTATCAACTGCCACGCCTGAGACCAACGGCTTACAGGATTCGCGCTTATGAGTGTTCATCGGGATGTGGCAATATTAATAGATACCTCAACAATTGTAGATAAGTTAGCTGAAAGAAGAAAGAGATTAAATTTTTGTGAGAATATTTTTTTACTTTTAATAAATGCTTCAAGCTAAAATCATCTGTCATTGTTCAAAATAGGTGCCCCAAAATATATGTTCATAACCATTTCAGCAAAGGGGGGCAAAGTGCAAAACAATGGTTAAAAAAACTTTTAGCTGTAGCTTAGTCAAAGAAAGAATTTTGAAAAAATAAACAACAAATTATTTCTTGAACTTAAAAGAATGTTTTTGAAAGTGACACAAAAAAAATAACTGCTGGAGCAATGCTGTCTAACACCTAACTTTTGCATTCCCACTTTTTATTTTGATTGCAGCTATGGCATTGAGCGCTATCTACCAGCGCCCAAATAAAAGGACGCATCAATTATCGAGCGATTAGAGAAATGGAGTTTTTCAATTCAGACTTTGTTTTTTCTGTGACGGGAAAAAAGTAGACTTTTTGTACCTGTTGACAGGGGCACAAATGTCACTTTTTCTCCCACGGGAAAAAAGTCATTATTTTTTTCCCGCGGGCAAAAGTAACAGATACCAGTTAAATTTTTTTCTCAAAGGGAAAAAAGTATAAGTACGGTCACAGAAAAAAAAATTATACATGGAAAATGATGAGATTTTCCCGTCACAGAAAAAAATAGTGTATTATAGACGGGAAAAAAGTAAGAATTTGGCGGAAGGTGTGGTCCGCTTTGCGTTTGGAGACAACACAGCAGCTATTACTTTTTTCCCTTGTATAATAGATAACTATTTTTTTTTAAGAAAAATAAACGTTTTTGGCCGTGGCAACCGATAAAATTTTGACGATATCCTACGGCGGCACCCGAATACTCAACCTGTCAAATGTAATTTTTGACAGATATCCTCTCAAAATATTACAAAAAAGCGTCATATGCCTGTATATGGTGTTCAGAATCGGAAAAGCCATAAGACGTTGAAAAAAATTGACCGATGCAAAAAATCTGGCAACCTTGCTAAGGGCCTAAAAAAGTGACACGATAAATAGATATCTATTGTAAAAAATCGATTTCAATTAAAAATGCCCTTTTTATCAATTTCAGGCGCTTCAAAGTTGTTTAAGATGTTTCAAAATTTTTATAGAATGCATATTTAAAAAATCGCTTCTGATAGTGTTCTCACATTGTGATAGGTTATGTTTATGAATGAGACCATAATCCGATCGTAGATCGGCTTCCCGCTAGTTTGCTTTTTATTCAAAGAGGTATCCGATAAATAATCAAAGAGAAGAATTAATGCAAGTTGAGAAAAACGCGTTTTTCGAAAATTATATAATGTTTCAGTTTTTGATCGGACCCTGTACGAGAATGGTTCAACTTATGGAAATGAAACTTCCACTACCCAATCCTACTTTTTTATCCTTTATCCAAATATGACAAATTCAACCTTCATAGTTACTTGCCAAACTGAAAATTTGATAACCCATTTTCAAGTTGTTGGTGCTCATCTTAAGCCAAAATCAATATCACTTTCACTTATTTAATTACGTATTCCACCAAAGTTGGCTATGGAATCATAATAATCTACTGTCTAAATTTTGATTGCTGTAAATAAAGCTTCACTAAAGTTAAAATAATCTTATTAGCCGTGACCAGAGGTTGTTATGGCTGGCATGTTTAAACGCTGATCCAAATATTTCTACACGCCAAATTGAAAATGAAGTTGGAGTCAATAGAGAAAGTGCAAGACAAATCTTGAAGAAACATAGGTACAAACCCTACAAATACCAAATCCATCAACACTTGGGTATGAAGGACTTTGCTCGGCGAGTTCAATATTCCCGGTGATTTATGGAAAAATTTAACAATAATATAGTTATTAAGGTATCAAGGGTATTATAAGGATATTAACGCTTGAGGTCAATGATCTGCTATCAGATTTTTCCCAAAGAAATCCCTAATAGTACTTATTGAAATTTGAGCCTATAAATGTAGACACCCTGTACACCAGTACAGCCACAAAAAAGTGCCAAATTCGAGTAGCTATAAGACAAAAAAAATGAATTGAATCAGTTAAACAATAAATTTTTTAGAAGGTTGGTCAGTTCTTAAGCGGGACACACCCTATCGACATACCGAATTGCATATTTCTATCTCGGACCTAGTGTTGCAGGTCGCAAGAAATATTGTCTTGCTCGGCTATTTCTTGTCTTGTCTTGCTAAGCAAGACAAGAAATTTCCAATTTCTTGTTCTTGCAAATTTCTTGCAAACCTATTTCTTGCTCTTGCTCTTGCTGCAAGACTCTTGCTATTTCTTGTTCTTGCTTCATAAAAAGTTCCTAAATAGATTTTATATTGGTTATAATTCCTTTCCAAAGACTACAGCAAGTTAAGTTTCAAAATAATGATTAAACTTCCTCGAAAATACTCAAACGTTTTTTTATTACATTAGAAGATTACATCAGACAAGTCGACGAAATTAAATGTTTAATGAAAATGTTTGATTTTTGAAAGTTTTCATTATATTGGAACTTCAGGAAATATTTTTCAAGTGAAAACTTATTTAGATGCGTTCAGCACACTTTTTTTTGTGGGTACTGAACGAAAGTGAGCTGTCACGCTCGGCTATGTAACGCTCATTCGGGTACATTCGGCTCGAGTTGACACATTTTTTGACAATAATCATATTTTTTTTTTAACGTAATTTAATAAATGTTAATATAAGCGTATGCTCATAATATGTGAATGTGACAGAAACTGCTGTTTCATACAGGCATAATCTAAATAATATTTAGCAAATGGATTTAAATCAAAACTATCCATATCTTTGATACAAAGGTAGATCAATCTGGGCATTGAATATAGAGCATGAAAAATACCTGTATTTCATATTGTTAATCTCGCCTAATTGAAGTTTTAACTTCTGTCGTATGGTCTTAAGTACACTCCATTTTTTAAAAATTTTGTAGAGAGCATATTTTTTGTTTGTTTTGTTTTATCAGAATAAGAATTTTTGAAAGTTTTTGTAACTGGTTCTTCAATGAAACGTCCTATTTATGTACCAAACTGTGAAAAAGGTTTTTCTTGTCAATTTTTTTTATATATTTACAATACAATGCAGCGCTTTTAGACTTGTTCCTAACCACCAATCCTGACTCGTACACAATTCAAGTAGATACTCCACTTGGTTCGTCCGATCATAAACTTATAATAACAAAGTGCGAAATGCTCATCCCACCAAGCCTACAACCACTTCCTCGTAAAATGTGGCACTATAAATCGGCAAAATGGAATGACCTAAAACAGTATTACCTGGATTTTCCATGGCAAGAGGTTTGCTTTAAAACAGCTGATCCCACTATTTGCTGTAATGAAATAACACAAGTAATCTTATCTGGAATGGACGCATATATCCCACATACAACTAAACGTAGAGCTAATGCAAAACCTTGGTTCAACAGCCAGTGTCAAACGGCTGTACAGAAAAAACAGAGAGCATATAACCTTTGGAAACGACAACAAACCGCTCAAAACCACACAGAATTTATAGAAGCCAGAAATAGTTGCAAAATTACTATTGACTCCGCTAAAGAAACATACAATCAAAGAATAAAAAACAGGTTGCTGAATTGTCCAAGTAGTTCTAGGTCTTTTTGGTCTCTTGCAAAAGCTGTTGGATCTAACTTCACCAAGTCATCCATACCACCACTTACAGATAAAAATAATCACTTAGCCACAACATCAGAGGAAAAAGCCAATATGCTTGCCCAAATGTTTTCCTCCAACTCCAACCTCACAGTGCCAAACGGAAAAACTCCACCGTTCATTGAAAGGATTTCCCATAGTATGCCAGAGGTACCCTTTTGTCACAGAGAAATACGAAAATCCCTAAAAAAGCTGGATACAAACAAAGCAATGGGTCCGGATGGCATTCCCGCAATAGTACTCAAAAATTGCGCCAACGAACTTACCCCAACTTTCGCAAAATTATTCAATTTGTCTTACAGGCAAGGAGTATATCCATCATCATGGAAGTCTGCCGCAGTACAACCCATTCCAAAGAAAGGAAAAAAGACAGATCCGTTAAACTATAGACCAATTGCCCTACTTCCGGTGATATCAAAAGTAATGGAAAGAGTTCTGAACAATCACCTAACCAAGTACTTGGAAAAGTACAAAATTATCAACGATAAGCAATACGGATTTCGAAAATATAGATCAACTGGCGATTTACTTACATACGTCACTCACTTATGGCAAAAAGCGATTGAGTTGCGGGGTGAAACAAGAACAATTGCCTTAGATATATCTAAAGCATTCGACAAAGTTTGGCATGAAAATCTGCTCAACAAGCTCAAAGCAATGGGATTATCGCCGAAACTTTGCACTTGGTTTGAAAGTTACCTAAAGGACAGATCCATTTATGTTGCACTGGATGGCCAGAACTCCAACTCTTACCAAATAAATGCTGGTGTGCCACAGGGAGCAATCCTTTCGCCAACTCTTTTCCTGATTTACATAAATGACCTCATAGATAAAACAGTAAATCCAGTTTATTGCTTTGCAGACGATGGCAATGTAGTCTCCTCACTCATACCACCCACAGGTCTTTCCGCACGTGAATTCCATCATCTTAGACTAACTCAAATATCGCAGATAAATAACGACCTGGAGATAATAGAGGACTGGGGTAACAAAAACCTTGTACAGTTCAACGCACAGAAAACCCAAGCAGCTCTGTTTTCAAAAAAGAACACCACCGGTGAGCCAAACATCATGCTATCTGGAAGTGCTGTCACATTACAGAGTCAGTTGAACATCTTGGGGGTTACTGCAGAGACCAACATGTCTTGGCACAGTCACGTGGCAGATATTGCAAAAAGGGCCTCCCAAAAGCTGGGGGTGCTATTTCGTACAAGACATCTGTACACACCAAGCCAATTGCTAACACTCTACAAAGCCCAGATTCGACCAACTATGG